AATTTTTTAAATTACCTCATTAACCCGGGCAGTCTCAAGAATAGCAGCGCATTGATCATAAGCATATATGCCAACAGTCTGAGTATCAGTACCAAAGCCAAAACTAACACGAACGTCACACCGATCAAAGCTGCGTCTAAGAGTTGCACCACGATGTACAAATTGAACAAGCCCAGTCAGAGAACTAAAATTTTTAAATTAAATTTTTAATTTTCTACACAAAAAATTACTTAAACACGTGATTTGTGCGCCACCCTGCAAAGGCATAATTGGAAGATGTCAGGCGATTGCGGATATCTATGAGTGGTAGAAGCATAGCCGCAGGCGGCATTTCAATAATATTAGCACGTGCCCTTTCAGCGGCTATTATTGCTTCCACCTTTATAGAAATAAAAAATTTTTTATTACACATAAAAAGAATTTTTATTAAAAATTAAATTTTTAATAACAAAATTAATTTAATTATTTGTAAAAATTACATCAATATTGTTGTTTGGTAAGTTATTGTTGTTGTTTAGTAAGTTGTTATTGTTGTTTGGTAAGTTGTTTGGAAAGTTGTTGTTGTTATTGTTATTATTTGCAGCTGGTAGAATATTCAGCCCATTGTCGATCCGAGCTCTATTAGTAGGTGGCGCATCAGAAGAATTACTAGCTGGTCGTCGTCGATTGGAACTCATTATTAACTAAAAAATTAAAGTGAATATTAAAAAATTATTTTCATAAATTAAATTGAAAACGGGGGGAGATAATAAACTCTAATTTTATAAAATATTTACAAAAAAAAAATAAATAAAATTTATAAAATGAAGTAATGAATTAATGAAATAAGGAGGGGTTCATTTTTGCTCCTTGCACAACCCGCCCATCTACTCGGAAATTTTGTAAAGTTTGACCCGACTGAGAAAAAAAGTTTTTAGGTCTTTTTATATTATAAACTTAATTGTTTTTAAATTTCCATCAATTTTTTATAGTCGGAAGTAACTTGTACTTCACACAATCTTTTTTACAAAAGGTTGACCGGAAAGAGAAAAAAGGAGCAAAAACCAACCCAAAAAGCCAACTTTTTTGAAAGATCAAAACTATTTAATTTTTAAAAAATTTTTAAAAATTACTTCAACTGTATATTTATCGATGCATGGCCAGCAATATCCATTTTCCTCCCAATATAATTTGGTCTGCAACGGCACATACCCTCAGCACTATCGCAGTGATTGTCATAAGCGCCACCAGGATCGCAATCACTAGAAAAATATTTAAAAAATTAGTCGAATTTATAAAATATATTTAAATCAAAAATTTTAATTAAATTCATAATTAAATTTTAAAAAAATCCAACATTATGGATATGTTTCATAAAAATTTTACAAAAAAAAATAAAGCCAAATATAAAATTTTTTACCAAGTCTTGCATCCATTAGGATCGTCAACACTTGGTCCATAATGTTCTTGAAGACAATGATCACATTGTTCTTCCATTACAAGAGCTTTACATGTACATTTTCCTGTCACTTTGTCCCAACCTTCATTCCCATAAGTCCCAATTAGATTCCAAGAACATGGCCGACAACCATCAGGATCTTCTTTTCTCATTTCTCAAAATCCATTTTTACATCGATCACAACTTTAGATAATTAAGAAAATTTGTTGTTTTCTCAATATTTTTAAAATTACTTTGGCCCATCAACATTGCTTTTGCAATAACATTTTCCTGCAAACAATCCACGTTCTGGGTCTTCTTCACCCTCACAAATTCATTCGAATTTAGAACCACTGTGACCGCAGTGGCAGGGTCTGCAGACGTATGGATCTCGAATGAATCTAAAAATATTGCAGTTAAAGAAAACCTATCAAGAATTATTCAAATTCCGAATTTTTTATTTTCGAAACCCAAAAAAAAAGATCAATTACTTAAACAAAGTCAATGAAATTTTTAAATATCGGGACTTTGTAAAATTCAGTAAAATTAAAATATTCTCTGAAATAAATAAATAATCCTCGTTTATAGAATATATTGAAAGGGGATTAGAAAATAAATATTATTATTAACTTTAATCTTTATTTTATCTAGATGTCCATAGTATATCCTTAAATCGCCTAAATATCAAATACAACTTTGCCAATTTTTTAAAAATTTTTACCTTTGAGGATCTCGATAGAAATTAGGTTTGCATTTCTCGCAGTTTTTCCCCATTGTGTTATGTTGACAATCATCACAAACACCTCCAGAAGAAAACCCAGAAGCATTATAAACTACTCAATCAAAATGGCAACTAAAAAATATTTGTTACACATTATTTTTAAAAAATTAATTACCGAGTAGCATGATCATTACATTCGCATCTTTTACATTCATTTGATTGATCTTCAATGCCTGGTCTCCATGGTGAATCGTTGTGAAAGTCTTCGCAGTCATCACTATTCATTCCATTCATGTTAGGAGTACATTCACATTTTCCATGTCCCATATCTGGCAATCTTAAAAGGTAAAAGTTGGGAGTGTCAACATTTATAGAATATTCGATGTAAAATTAAAAATATTTTTTGAAATAAAGATTCTGAACTGGTAAAGCTGTCCGAGTAGATCAAAATACTTAACAGACATTGTCTGAATATCATAGGAAATTATACTAATTACTATGCAGTTAGTATAGTTCAATTTAATAAAATATAATTATTTTTATTACATTGCAAATATCAAAGGCAGTTGTTTCAAAAACAAGTACAGGACCTGTAGAGCCAATTATAGTTAGAGGCTGGCCACTGAACAAGTGATATATGATGCCACAGATCGCACCGCTAGCTAAGTTCTGCATTACTGCCTTTAAAAGAATTAAAAATATTCCTTTAATTAAATAACCATTCTTTGATGAGTAGCTTCTTCAAGAAGACCACCAAAAGTTACAATTGGGGCCAACAGTGCAAAATACATAAAACAAGTAGTTGCTATACATTGAAGGTTTGACGCATCAGTAAAATCGGATAAATAATGTGGGGCTTTCCGACTTCAAAAATTAAAATTTATTTTTAAATTAACACACCGAATATCTAACATTAAACCCCCAAACAATTTCCCAGTTCTGCGTAAACCCGGATCTTGACCGTGACCGTCCTCTTCTTCTAAATCAGTTACAATTAATAACATTAAAAATTATTTTTTTTAAACCTTTTTCCCAGCAAGTTTAGAACCTCCAATTCCACAAGGTAATCCAGTTGTGGAATCCTCAGTACTAGTTCCTGCCAATTAATTGAGGAAAATTTGTCACTTCTAGCTGAGGGCTTTTGCTAATAATTTTAAATTTTAATATATATATAAGTATTCTAAAATGCACTAACTTGAATACGGCTCTGTTGATTAGGAATTGTACTAGGAGGCTCAATACGAATGCTAAAAATTAAAAAAAATAATTTATATTTATTTATCAAAAAATTCCGACCTCGGATCCCATTCGCCGGTCATTAAACGGCCAGTGCATCTAAGACTTCATCAAACCATCTAGTAAATCCGAACGTTGTTTTGCCTTGTAGGCAACTTTATGGAATAACCACCACAAGTATTAAGGCAGCAAGTTCCCCGTCACTCCAAATTTGGTGACGGGGAACTTGGAGAATCTGCTAAAAAATTAAAAGTTGCAAACAATAGTTAATGCAAGAAAAAATTAAAATAAAACGGGCAAAATAAATCTAACTGTAAAATATCTGAAAGCAAAAGAATTGGATAAAAAATTTCTATCGATTTACTTAAAAACACCTAGTTGTTAAAGAGAGTATGCCCCTGCAGAAAGAAAAATATAGCCAAACATTTTTGTTCTTAGTAACAATGGCGAACAAAATAAAAAGTATAATATACATAACACCAAATGTTTAACACTATGCCAAATACATTATTTGAAAATTTTCCATTTTAAAATTGGCACTTTGAAATTTAGGTATTTTTAATCTTTTTCTTACTGTACACCTCAATTGAGTACCAACTCAATGAGTCCCGGACCCTATAACTTCGAAGGAAAGGTCACTATTTTTTTGCTCTAGGTACCATTGGATAGAGCATTAGATAGGCTACTGGTAAAAAAAAAGTTATGATCTATAAAGTGACGAAAAATCAGATTTTTTTGAAAAAGTTAGTTTTTTAAATCATTGCTTTTTTTAACAATCAATCAAAAATTTTGAGTTTTTGGTAGATTTGGAAATTTGAACAAAGGACATTTAAAGTATTCAACAGTTCAATAGGAAAAAAGCTTTCCAATAGGTTCATGATGCATTAATAGTAAAATTGATTTAGCTTCTTAATAGCTTAGTTGGTAGAGCATCCGCCTATACAGAGAAGGTCGCCAGTTCGATCACTGCCGAGCGGCTTTTATTTTAAAAGTATTTTTAAAAATTGGCAACTTGGCAGTTGACATTTTGTCCCTGGACATTTCATCCCCCGGCATTTTGGCCTGTGACATCTGTCCCTTGACATTTTGTCATGTGGCATTTTGTCGAATGACCAAATGGCAATAACTGGCCAGCCCTCTCCTCCGGCCGGCCAGGGAAAAATTCCTCTAACACCCCTCACCCGATATTTGTCTCTCCTATAATCGTGTAGTCTATCATCAATCAATAATTTATTAGTGGACATATAGTAGTTTTACCTTTAAAAATCTATCAGATTAGTCAATAAAAAAGGGCATGATTCCATTTTCTTTAATAACTCCTCCCCTTTATAGCCTAACATAAAATGTTGAGAAAATATGAATGAAGGAATTCATTTAACATTTATTACCCTATTAATTATTAGGGATGGGCCCTGCCGTATTTTAAAAAGTTAATGTTTCTCCTTTATGGAAAAATATCCTTGAGAATTGTCAGTATTCAGATTTGAGTTAAAAAATCTAAATTCAGCCTAACTTTTGGGAATAAAATTTTCATCTTAAGATGTCGAAAGTTGCCTCTGTTAAAATAAATTTAAATTAATTTTAATATTATTTATATTTAAGGAAAACCCCTTTTTCCTTAAAAAAGAATGATAATTAATTTATCATTTAACAAAATTTTGCCATTATTGGCATTAAATTTGTTTTTACTAAAATATTCTTATGGAATGTTTCATGACCCCATCAACCCTCATCAACAACATCATTCAAATCCAGGCGATTTGGTTGATAAACAAATTAATTTAATTGAAAAAACTGAAGAAGAATTCAGAAAATTGTTAGAAAAAGGCGACGAATTTAAAGGTTTTTAAGTTTCAATAATTAAAATAAATTTAGAAAAGTTCCAGGTATATTCGAGGTTTATAAAGATTCCTATCGTTTTTTAAAGTTAGAAAATTAAAATTCCCGATCCTCAAGTTCTGACAGTTGGGAAGCTACCATTTAATGCATCCTGTCCATTTTAAAGTATTTTCGATAATTTTTATTAAAAATTATCAAAAATCAAATTTTTTTATAAAAATATTTTTTTTCATTTTCTCAAGAAGAAAGATTTGCAATTGACAAAGAGGATTATTTACCAATAGTAAAAATTGAAAATTTTGTTAAAATTTTGGAAACATTTATTCGTGAACAAGAGGAGTTAAAGTTTCCAGAGTTGGAAATAATGATGAATTTTGTTTATGAAATAAACAAAAATCCATTTATTGTGGAAAGATTCATTACAATTGATCCAACTTTAATTATAATGAATCCATACGACAAAAAATTGATAGGAACAGAAGGCAAAAATGTATTTGATAAACTTAAATTGTTTTGGTTTGATAAAAAGGAAGAGGATGTTGGTTTCTTGATTATTTTATTTAAATTTGAAAGGATTTTAAGAATTTATTTTAAATTTTAAAAGTTTTTCTAAAAATCCTTCCTAAACCCTCAAAATTTCTTGTTTTTCGGAATGGGCTAAGGATAAACAAATCGAAGTAATTATTTAAAACTAAAGACACACCAAATTTTTTAAATTTGTTTGGCCATTAGAGGGGGCTGAATTTTGCCTGTACATATGTTTCAAGTTTTGCCTTTGGGAAAGTACTATCCTTCCTATTCCCTCAAATAAACAAATCGAAGTTTTAATCAAAAAAAAATTTTAATCAAAAAAAATTTACTGTTAGCTTAATAAAAAATTATAATACAAAAATACCTTCAGTTTATTTAGTATTAAAAAAATTTTACGATATACTAATAATAGTTTGTGCTAGGGTTCCAGCCGTCACTATTCCCGATTTCCGAATCGGAATTTATTTGCGTATTTGGGGTTGGACATATTAGTATACTAATTAAATTTAGATAAATATTTCAAAATTAAACGTTAAAAACAAGGAAGAATTGGGAGACAAAACTATTGCGGAATTATTTGGTTAGAATAATTCCTTAAAGTTATAAAGTTTAAGGTCGAAGATTTTCAGGTGATCTTCAATTAAATCAACCAATAGAGCATACAACACAAATGGTTTTGCCCAAACAATATCAAGCTCAACAAAGTGGTAAAAAATTAATTGGAATTACTAAATTATATAATAGGGAACTGATAGGGAATGTTGATCATAAGTAATAGTATAAATGTTGGCATAACTTTACCATATAAAGGAATGTAAACTGTTAAACGTAAAAATTAGTTTGGGGTGTGACATTAACAAAGTACTATTAATCAAAGTGCTCTTTAGCCTTCGTTACCGAGTTATAATCGTTTTTGAAAAATGCGTTGCTTAAATTAATGAATAAAAATATTTACAAAAATTTTTATAAATTTTAGAACAAAGTATTGTTGGTCATGGTCAACATGCTTCTAAAAAAGATGAGGATTCACCTCTTTACGAACATCTTTTAAAGCTTCGAAAAACGGTTAACAACGTTCTAAAACAAATTTTTACAGAATTTGTTGTTGGACTTGAGTATAATTCATTCAAAAAAATGGGAGAGGAATTTGAAAAGACTGAGGGATTAATTAAAGAATATATGGTGGGGAGAGTGGGGAGATATTCATATTCATATTAAGGTTGTCGGATCCGGATATCCGGATCCGAAAAAAGGCCGGATATCCGGAAATTTTCGGTTCGGATATCGGATCCGGATCCGGATATCCGAAAATTTCGGTTCGGATATCGGATCCGGATATCCGAAATTTTCGGTTCGGATATCGGATCCGGATCCGGATATCCGAAAATTTCGGTTCGGATCCTAGAATTTGGAAAAAAGGATGAAATCTTGCCCATTGGTCTTCCAAAATTCCCAAAATTTTCGCCTGCGGCGCTGATAATGGGAGAAAGCTGGCTTTTTGGCCTTCCAAAATTCCCAAAATTTTCGCTTGCGGCGCTGAAAATTGAAGAAATCTAGCTTAAGGACTTCCAAAATTAACAAAATTTTCGCCTGCGGCGCTGAAAAAGTGAATTTTTTGGCCTACGGCCTTCTAAAATTCTCAAAAGTTTCGCCTGCGGCGCAGGAAATGGAAGAAATCTAGCTTAAGGACCTCCAAAATTCACAAAATTTTCGCCTGCGGCGCTAAAAGAGAAAGAGTTGTAAACAATTGTAAAAACTCACATGCCCCTCTGAAGCTAACCCCCTGGATACGCCCTTGAAGGATTTTGGGATTAGAGGGGATATAGGGGATTAATCAATAAATCCCTCAATATCTCTCGTAATTCCCAACCCGTAGCCCTTAATCCACCAATTTTAAATGTAAGATAATACCCTATGTCTCTATTAATTCCCCAAATAACTCATTACTCACATCGATAACTCTGTTACTCCTAAATTCCCTCAATACCTCTGTTATTTCCCCAAATCCATTTATAATTGATCTTAATCCCTCTATATCATCCATAGGGACTCAACTTTACAGCGCCGCAGGCGAAAATTTTGAAAATAAAAATTTCTGTTCCGGATCCGGATATCCGAAAATTTCGGTTCGGATATCGGATCCGGATCCGGATATCCGAAATTTTCGGTTCGGATATCGGATCCGGATCCGGATATCCGAAATTTTCGGTTCGGATATCGGATCCGGATCCGGATATCCGAAGATTTCCAACTATCCGACAACCTTAATTCATATGAACGAAGAAAGGAAATTGAACATCTTCGCAATTTGTATAACATAATAATTAAAGAAAATGTTAATTTAAAAATTGAAAATTATTGGACAAAACACGTTCTTGATCTTCAAAATAATGGATTTGACTTGGTTGTTGGCAAGGTTTGTAAATTGTTTGGGATTTGTAAAATAAATCATTTTATAAACTGAATGAATCATTTCCTCCAAAATTAATTTAAATAGCTTAAGTTATGTTTGAAGTCCCTCTTAGAACTAAGGTATTTTAATTTAAGAAGTCAAAAGTACGAGGGTCGAATATAAGTACAGTACTTCCAAAATAAGAATCTTGAATTTAAATCATTCTAACTTTAGCTAAAAACAATTGAACTTGAAGACATTAACGAATTAATTGAAAACGATTATGGCGGTTTAGACAAGGAACTTACTCCATCACGAATTATTGATGATGAAGTTTCAAAATTAGAAAATAATAATGATATCAGAAATATTGTTTTAAAAGATTTTTGGAAACAAAATAAAAAGAAAGCAGCTATATTTCATTTGGAAGGTGATGAAAAAGAGAAAATGAAAAAATTAACTGGAAAATTGAAGGAATTTTATGAGCAAATAAATAAAATATCGTCTGATGTTTTAAATATTATAAGTACAATGAAACCTCAACAAAATGTATGTTAGATTGAGTGCCGGAAAATTGGGCTCTGGAAAATTGGGCTCCAAGATTTTTCGGAAAATTGGGCTCTGGAAAATTGGGCTCCAAGATTTTTCGGAAAATTGGGCTCCAAGATTTTTCGGAAAATTGGGCTCCAACTTTTCGGAAAATTGGGCTCCAGCGGAAATTTGGGCTCTACGTGAAAGAAACGGAAAATTGGGCTCCAATTTTTTAGGCGCGGGGAATTGTGGGCGTCAGAGTGAATTTTTGGATTTCAACAGAAAATGACACAAAATCAAACAACGTAAACCTATGGGCGTCGGCGAGGCGCTTGTGCAAAATCCCGCGCTTCGCGCGGGATTTTGCGGCACGCGCCTCGCGGGAGTCAACGGTCGCTGGGTTCTACAACAGAAACATAAACCTATTCCTTTTACTGATTTTCAGCTTTGAAATGCCGACCTACCCACTAAGTAACAGTACAAAAATAGTTATTCCAGATATTTTTCGAATAAATCTAAAAATTCACTCTGACGCCCACAATTCCCCGCGCCTAAAAAATTGGAGCCCAATTTTCCGTTTTTTTCACGCAGAGCCCAAATTTCCGCTGGAGCCCAATTTTCCGAAAAGTTGGAGCCCAATTTTCCGGACACCGTTAGATTTATTATTTTCTAAATTTATATATATTTTAAAACATGTTTTCTCTCTCTCCTAAATATGACTGGGGGGGGGGGGGGGGGGGGGGTCACACCCCTACTTAACGCAGAGCAGACTAAATTAGCACGACCAAATAGTAGTATAAATATAAAAAAATAGCCATCCCCCCCCCACTCCCCCCACATATGAAATAGCCCCCTCTAGAGGTAGATCGAAAAATAACCCCCGGGGGTTATTTTAGAGAAAATACGGCATTTTAATTTCTAATAAAAACAATTAAAAAACTTTAAAATTCAGCCAGCTTACAAACTGTGGAATTTTCACAATTCTTTGTTAAACGCAAGCAAGAAAGTTTACAAAAACTTGAACAAAATGCTTGTTAATTTTGATAAAACTCGTGATTTGAATGTTTTAGAAAGTCAAAATTATAAGGTGCTTAAATTAAAATTTCATCTTAGACATTATTCCAAATTTTATGTTAATTAACTAATTCAGTAAATTCTCTAAAAAATTGGTTTTTTGATATTCTTTTGGGTAAATTGAAAATATCTCTTTAAATTTTGGAGAATTTACGGTGTACAAAATAAAATAGTGTAGACTAATAAAGGAAAAGTTAGTTTAATGTTATTTTCTTCGGAATTATATAAAATCTAAATCATAGATAAATCGAGATGAAATTGGAATATTCGAAAAGCATCAAAAAGGGGAAATAAACTTAGATGGAGAGCAGAAAAATCGTTTAGATCACGTTAAAGACCGCTTCGAGACATGGATTGTTGCAGAATTTTGGCTGAAAAAAGCTCTTAAAGACGTTGCAAAATTTTTCGAAAACAACAAATTTTACTACACGTATGAACACATTCATTTAAGTTCACTTGCTGATAATATAGAAAAAAATATGGAATTACCAAAAGAATGGCTGGAAGAGGAGAAGAAATTTTACAATACGAAGCATAGAAACTTTCATGATAAGCTTAATGATAATATGCTCGAAAAATCATCAGTAAGTTTGAATTATGAAAAGCATTATATTTTGGCGTAATATTTCCACGGATAAAAACTAAGCCTAGAAAATATTGGCAAAAAGAAATGATTTATAATATCCCGCCAAGTTGAATATTTCTCAGTAAAAGACTTTAGCAGCTTCTCAGTAAAAGACTTTATCTTCAGTTAGAAATGATTCTGACACTCTAGATCTGACACATTGTTTGTTGATCTATGTAGATTCTTAATCAAAATTTACTTATTAATTTTAATCAATTTTAATAAAAATTTTAAGTTAAGGTTTTAATCCGTATCAATGCCGGAAAAGTTTTATTAGCCTATACACGCATGAAAAAAATTTTCAAAGCCTTCAATTGCGACGATTTTGATAAACAAACCCCTAAAATTTTGGGTGAAAAATTTGAAGCCAACATTAAAAGTGTTGCTGACAAAGTTATTCTAGAGAAAATTCATGAGCATATTTTTGAAAATTGAGGATGTTGAGCAATGTGAAACAGCTGAGAAATGTGTTTACGAGGAACCCCTTTAATTTAACAAGACATTTCCAAATATGCATAAGTTCCAAATTTATTTTTCAATTTTATATGTTTGAGTATATAATTGACAGGTTTTTATGTAATTGCCATTATATAGAACCTGTCGATACCGAAATTTTGAAATTATTATTAGGGACAGCCAAAATATGCACGGAAAATCGCCAAATATGCGCATATATATGCAGCGAAAAAGTTCAAAATATGCACCAAAATATGCAAAATTAGCCAAAATATGCACTGAAATATGCACCAAAAACTAGTTAAAATATGCTTTAAAGATCAATATTTTAAGCCAAAAACACGAAATTAGCCTTTAAACCCGCAATTTAAGAAAATTTTTAAAAGATTTTATGGAATTAAGATTATTGCATAGAAATTTAACAAAAGAAAATTTTTCCGAAAAATTTTTCGAAAAAATTTTTTTATAAAATTTTTATAATAAATTTTTTGTCCAAAAAAATTCCGAGAAATTGAAAATTTTCGCCGATTTTTACTAAAATTTACCAAAAAATACCGAAATATGGACCAAAATATGCAAAATTTGCCAAAATATGCACAAATATGCAAATATGCACGGGAGAGCCGAAATATGCAAATATATGCATTAAGAACCGGGTCCTTAAGTGCTCGGACCTATGTAAAAACACCATTTTTGGGCTTCCCACTTCAAGGCATATCCGCATACAAAACATGCATTTGCATGTTTTGGCTGTCCCTAATTATTATACAAACCGAAAATTTTTAATTTCTAAACTAAACACCAAACACCAAGCTTCACTCAAGCCCGTGAAAATTCTTAGTATAAAGACCAAGCAAGAATAACGAACCTTTAGTATTCACGGTTTAGTTCTCATTGATTCCTACGACTCCTAAAATCGTTGAATAATAACTTTCAAGACAAGATAACTTTGAAAATCAAAACATTTTATATACACAAACATATCATCTGAATTAGGGATTGGACAGATCGAGTACTCGAACAATTATTTAGATAGTTGCTCGTACCTGTATTTCTCGTCAGTACTCGATTCTGTTAAATCACAATTCATTGTATATAAACTATTTTATATATTTACTATGTAAATTCCCATATTTATCG